CGGAACCAGGGAGGTAAAGGAAAAGAAAGACCCTGCTAGAGAAGAACAGTAGGGAACAGACATTAATAAGGAAGATATGGATAAAACTTGGGTTAGTTTAAGGGAGGGGGGAGGGAAGGGTATACAAGGAACCTAGGGGATAAAGGGAAAGAAGGAGCTCAAGAGAGGTAGGACCATAGGAGAAGGGTATTAGTAATGGAGAAAGGGGGAAAGTGGGGGCATCTTAAGTGGGAAAACCATGATGGAGGGGTTAGACAATGTGAGGGATAAATAATGCCTAGCTAGTTTAAAAAACCAGAGGGAACTAAATTAGTCCAACAACCTACTGACAAATTATACACACCAGATCAAGAAATATATGTCTAGGCAAGGTTTATCAGAGAACAATTGGCCTTTGCCCATGATTTATCTACATGGCACACAATAATTTAAAGTACCAGACTGGTGGAACTAACCTTCTTGGATGTTTAATAGACATACTTTGAGGCCTATACTTGTAGGAGGCTAGGCATGAGACCAACAGCGCTGGCGCACCCTGCTTCCTGTTGATGAGCATGAAGATGCTCACCAGATATCCTGTAATTGTGGTAGGTCACCTGTCCTCTTAATCAAGGAGGCTGAGGAGACCCAGCCAGATGGACACGAACTAGTGTCCAGTCTACAAAGAGGAGGGTCAACACAAAGAAAATATTTCCTCCATGCTTCCAAGAGAAGCCAACAATGGTCGAGCAGGACCTTTGACTTATCTTCACTTAAACATGTCATTCATGCTTCCAAGAGAAGCCAGACATGGTCAAGCAGGACCTTTGACTTATGTTCACATAGATGGAACTGGTAAGAGAAAGGAGCCAGGAACTCCTCTCAAGCCCATGTGACCCCTGAGGAACAGATCCTCAAATTACCTTAAGAGTAAAAATAAATTGGTTTATCTGGACCAATTGTAAGGTCTTAAACAACCAAAAGGAAAGTATAACCAAAGATTAAAGGGTCAATATAATTTCTTAAAAGTCCATATACATAGCTAAAGGCTACATAACAAGCAACAATGCCACATAGGAGATTCCTTCTTTTGAGTTGTTGGCCAGGGTAAACAAAGGGACTCCCAAATAGTAACCCAGCATAGAACTGGGAAAATGAACAGTAGACCCTAATCTTATCTAAAGGAGTATTGACAACTGATTGCTGCTAGAAGAGAAACAGCTGACCCTCCTAAAATAAAGACCACTAGATAGGCTGACTAGATCCACCAGATGGACAAGTAGTGGGGAAGGGCTGGGGGTGCTGACAACACATCGAACAGCAGCAGAAATAACAGAGTATAAGCTAGTGCAGGGAGGGAGGCTATGGGAGGGTGCCATCTGGGAAGTGGGTGTATAGTTGAATAACATGGTTTGGGATGTTCTGTGTGATATACACACACAGAAAAAAAAATCAACAAATAAAAAAGTATTATATTTGAGGAAGCATGGAAATTTACGTCATGTTATTTAGTAGAGGTGATAAACATTACCATTGAAATCTACCCAATGACTTTATAGACATCCACAGGCGCCAAGGATCCGAGTGCAAACGATTATGACTAGTAGTAATCAGATACATCCAAATTAGAGACGCATGTGCCAACATCTCAATGTTAGTAGGAAAAACAATGAGCTTTTCTGTAAGAAACAGTGTATTTTAGAATGAAATGGAGATCTCTTTTGAGGGTTAAAAACTCATTCAATTTCATGTCTTACAGGGCTTATACTGAGTTCAATAATGTATAACTGTATTAATTCAACTGTGAACCTAGAAACTTA